GCGAGCAACAAAAAAAATTATTTACACAATTTTATAAACTGGCAAATTTTGATCGCCAAAAATCATTTTTGTTTTCATTAATCAAAGTTGCATCTAAGTCACAGAAACGTACACGTAACGAAATTTCAAGGAGACAAAAAACTAGACGTTATTATCTTTACAATTCTGACAATCAAGAAACTTTAGTGTGCAAAATTTTTTTCAAAAATACCTTTTCTATTTCTGACGGTCTAATTAACAACATTTTAAAAAATAAATATTAAATTTTAAATCCTTCGCTTGACCGAAAGGCCATGCCAAGCCCTTTAATAAAACTCCGGATCATGAAATAAAAAGTAAAAAGATTTTACAAATTCCATTCCCTCGTATCAATCTCATTACTCATTACGTAAATCGCAAAATATTAAATAATTAATATTAAACATTGATTTAAAAGAGAAATCCAATCCCTATAGAAACTGGGGCCCGGTGCTTACGGGGTTGACATTTTGTTATAAATTAATACATTTAGAAATTATTCTAGACTGCAACTTTCACGGGCCATAGCAATGGCCAAGTTAGTTAAATCGAGTGATAAATATGCAATATTTAGGTTATATTTTACATTTTATTTTGACAAATGACACTTGATTACAGGACGAAATATTTACATTACGTAAATAATGAATAAACGGGTGCGCAGTCTTGTATCTCAGACGACTATAATAAGCATTTTTATTCTTTTTAAGTTATAAGAATCAAACGTATGTAAATTAATTGATTATGGCCTCTATTTTAATCTATAGTTTGAGTGTAAAAGACCCGTTCACCCTAAATAATATGTACATAAATGTTGTCTACAATACATGCTTATCAGGCTTCTTGGCACAATACGTAGAGAAATAAAAAAGGTGCTTAGATATTATAATTTATTTTGTTACTCATCATTATCTATCTTTACTATACTAAAATACCAGCACAAAATTTATAAATGATAGTGATGTTCTCCTGACCGCTTCCGGCCACGGCGGCCAATCTAATTGAGACTAGCCAACTGCGCAGGAAATATAATGTGCACAAGTGTACGCGCAGACACAAGTGCACTCTCTATTCCTGTCACTCTCAAACTCACATCGTGTCGAGTAGTCGTCCCACCAGATAATGATGGTATTACTAGTATGTATTAAATGTATTACTTATTATTACTACTGTATGTATTACAAGTATGCATCCCCAATGATAGTATTACTAGTATTATAAATAACTTTAGATCTCAGTTTCAACTACCAAAGCTTTTTTTTTAAAATGTGATTATTGTTTATTTTCGAATATTTAATTGTTACTGCATTAGTTATATTTAAATAAAATATTTCTATAAATATTATCGATAATAGAATATCGTGTAGGCAAAGCTCTTAACAATACTTTTCATATAATAACCCAAGTAATATATAGAAATAGTGTTACGATAATGTAACATTGTTAATAAGGCTAGATGTGATGGCAAGTGCTACATACCCGATATACACCTCTGCTTTCACTTGCCTTCGTATAATTAGAATACTAAGTGCTGGGTTTTCTTAAATCTTTAATCTTAATGTAATAGCTGTAGAATTTAAGACGTGTAACATAAATCTTTTGTTATTAGCTGACCTTTTAGCTTGTACTTTTTGAATTAATAAAATCTACTAGTCATTTTCCTAAAGTAAAAATAAACTTAAAAAATTTGATTGACCTTTTATTTACCATTAGAATGTACTTAGATGAAACAAAGACTTTTCTTAAAAACATATAAACATAACATTCTGACAACTTACATATAAAATCATTAGGAATGTTTTGGATAGAGACCTTGTATTTATATTCTTATCAAAATAAATATTAAAGCATTTCCATATTATCGATTTTGATGTTAATTTACATACAGATTATTTGTAAAAGGTAATTTGATTCCCCTTATATTGAAAACCTCTCGCTATTTATGAGATGAGACCGGTATATTCAAATTCAATTCAATTCTTTGTAATTTGGCTTTTAGGCGTGCCAGTGCCAATGTATATTCAAAAATCTGTCCTCAAACTATCTTCAGTGCATCTGTCAAATTAATCAAGGTATACGTATTTACGTAGAACAGTACAATATTTAGCAGAAAGCTAATTATAATCGATCGATAATATGGATCGAGCTTATTTAAGTGAGTTTGATTTACTAAATAATTTATACGTATGTAATTTAAGTGCTGTACTTTACAAAATGAAACGACTAACTTATAATACAATGTTCTAACCAACAGTATATTATATACGTACTTATTACATAATTACAATGACAAAATGAGCATTCTAGAGATATTTTTTTAAATAAATAGCTATTTAAGACATAATTAATACGTATTGAAAAAATTATGTATTTTACAAATATTTTTGTTTAGTAATCCAATTTAGCCGCAACGTTACATTTATACATTCATAATATAATGTCACCAATAAAATGTTATATAGTGTAAAAACAAAGACGTGATTATATCTTCTAACAATTATGAATATATAATAATAATGCATTTGCTTCGATTAAAGAGGTCATTTGGTTCCACAAAGTGGTAACTAAATTATTCACACTTTAATACTACCTTAATTATTTTAAATAAACTAAATTAAAATAATATTAATGCTCAATAAAATATAACATACAAAACTTACAGATTAATCTTGACTAAAATTACAAACAATCGATATTTGATGTTACATATTCTATGAACAAGTTATATAATGGTTTAACCAAATTAAATTTATATTATAAGTAATTTGGTATAATTCTTAAAACACCATGGAGATGGAATATTTCAAAACCTTAAAAATGACGCCATCCTTGTTTTTTATTTAATGCCTTATCAGTAAAAACAATATAAATTATGTACATTATTATTATCGGTGACTGCCTAAATATATATGTATCTGAAAATACTAGCTTGAATATATGAATATATTCAAGCTACTATATTCTTAAATACAAAAAAATACATAAATACCTATTAGTCGTGTAATTTATCATTATTTAAATCACATAATGTATTAAAAATTTCTTCGTAGTTCTTTCATGTTAACAGACCTTGAATATGATTTAAAAAAATTGAGGTGCATATCTTAAAATAAAATGAGTTGGCCGAAAGAAAGGTGGCTGATATAAGGCTTTAGGACACGCAGTGTATGTGATGGTATTTTATAATATAATGATATTTGTGTGCAAGGAATCACACTATTTAATGTAAATCGATTGTTATTTGAATTTAACTTATTATTTCCTTAAAATTTTGCTTATATTTAATCTAAAAGCAAAGTTTAGTAATAATTTGATTACTACGAAAACAACTATAGACATTCTTCGCTTACAATTAATAAAAATCGTAACATTTCATGTTAAATAATATGTATTAAATATTAATATTACTTATCGTTTACTTGAATACAAACGTGACATTCCAAAACGTTTAAGAATCATCGAAATAGCACGCCTGAATAACATATTATGTTAAAAAAATGCAAGTGTATATAAAGGAAATGGTAGAGAGAAACGGTGAGCGGAAAAAGACAGAATACTTCCCAGGATGAAATCGTAATTACTAGCAAAAACAAAATTTCTATTACCAAAAAGTACCGTATAATGAATATAAAAGCATACAGTTTGTTGGGGATTAGCGAAAAATTTAAGTTAATTCCAAAATATTAAAAAGTGAAAAGTGAAGTGAAATAATTTATAAAGCTGACCCTATTGATACAGATACTGTACGACTAATATTATTTTTATTAATCCAGTTACTGGGCTAATTATGTAAATTTATTGGTCCAGTAATCAATTTCATCAATACAATTTGAAAGCAAATATATGTCTGAAATAAGCAATAGAGTAGTAAATAGAGTAATAAATAGATAAATAAAAATTAAAAAGTGTTTATAAATAATACTCTTATTCGTTTTATTTTCACCGGCAAGGTAATTGCATTGTTGCTTGTCCCGTGCAATCACATAACGAAATCGATGTCGAGATTCGAGTTAAATTTTCGTAGGTGACAAAAAAATCTTGTAAGTCAGGCATGGCGCAATGTGTACAATTTTTTTTATTATACTCTTTTCTAACGTAACTAAATGAATACAGTGTCAATATGTCTATATATATTTTTCGACCTGATTTTTTTAGTAAACTGGTAAATTGACGCTTTTGGTATGTGTAAGCGGCTTTATGGTCACGTTCACTATTTAAGCAACAAAAAAATAATTTTTTCACCAAAATCTTCTAAAGAATTATAATAATTTTGGAGTTTTTAATTTTGCTATTTAATGATTTTTTTTATAGATTATTATATATTATACAAGTTTCCATGCATGAAGGTATTATTCAATGACCATTCATCTCGGATAGGGTGCCAATTTTTATTGAAATAACCACTGTCTCCGGCATTTCTAATAATTGGTCGTACAAAAGACCGTATTCTTCTGGCGTTGCAGCAAAAACCATTTTTTGTAAGATGTCTTTTGTTTGATCTCTCTGTTTCTTAGTAATGACCTAATCCTTTTCTCTAGTAATTTCACAATTAAAGATTCTCAGGGTATGGAATGCACAAAAAATAACTTGGCTAATGACAAAGGTTTTTTATAGAATTTCTTTCTTTAACGTCTTTATCAGTCGTCACACATTTAATTTGTTGCCATCCCGGATGAGCTTTTTTAAAAAAACCATTATCCAATCTTTTTATACCTCGTCTACAGAAACTAGAATATAAATACCTACAATCTCTGAACATCCATTGTCCTCAACTACCATCAAATATACCGGTGCACGGATATTTAATAACTTGAAGGTAGCATTGACTCCGCCGAATTCAAGGTAAGAAGCCATTGCTGCTTTCATGGTTTCTGTTGCGAAAAACAGTCCAGTAAGTGTTTTGCTTCTCGTACAGAAATCACAGACCTGGAATTTGTTTTCGAGTTTCTAAAGAATATAATTACCAAAATCAATACATTTTATTTATCTTTTTTAATTTTACAATTGACTAGATCCTTTAAAGGGACAATTTGTTCTGTTTCTTTTTCTATTAGCTGTTTGACTTTAATCCTATTCGCTTCAAGATCTAGTAACTCAGCTATCTTTTGTTGTTGAGCAGGATTCACTCTCCTATTTCGCGGATAATGTCGGAAGAGATTTTTACTGGTGGCATGGTTGTGCTTATGCTCTACACTTTTTACAATAAGACGGTCACCATTTTTAGTCACTCCAATCGTAAAAGAAGCAGGACAGCCATTTTGGAAAGTGGAAGCTTTTCTTATTCCCTTCGATTTTGATTTTATATTTTTCCCTCCATGAATACAATTATATTTTATGCTGTAATATTTTAATTTCTCTTTGATAGGTTTTTTTATTCCTCTTTCGCTGCATCGTCTAATAGTTATTGCGTCTCGTCGATAATATAAAGCATATGTTTTTCTCTGAAATCTGTCTATTATTTTCTCTAATTTTTCAAAAGACTTGAAAGTGTCACCAGTTTTTAATAAATATTCATAATTCTCATCGTCGTCTTCGTCTTCTTGATTTATGCTTTTGTTTTCATTAACTTCGTCTTCTTCATCCGTATCTCTTTCTTGATATCGCTCTTCTTCAGTGTCCGATGGACATTCTGTAGTAAAAAATAAGTATAATTTATAATCATTTAATATATATAATATTTAATACATACATATATATATATATATATATATATATATATATATATAAATATATTTTCATTATAATTATGCAAATTATTTACCTACTATATTTCAAAGTTTCTCTAAAAAACAAATTAAAAAAGCATAAAAGGGATATTTGTCTTTCAATCGTAATCAATATTCTATAACAGATTGACTTACTTAACAGATTGGATTATTTATTTATCATATACTTTTAAAAAAGTGTCTTTTTTTAAATATGATATGATAATCGAAAAATAAATAAAACCTATTTTATTAAAAATGACTATTTATAATTTAAAAAAAGAATTTATTAAATTAATACTATACTATATATAGATTACATAATAATAATTTATATTAATAATTTTAAAGAGTTTTACTACCTTGTGACGAACTGTTGGTGAGTGGCGACACCACGGGACCTAGATTCTCCGGGAGGAAACTCCATCTGTCCCCCGCCTCTGGCTTGCCTTTATTAGCCTTCCAGAGTGGAGCGCAAGAGCCAAGTAAGCTCAAAAAGGTGGAAGAGCTCAATCTACGTAATAACAGAAATCCGCTCACGAGCACTTTCGCGATAGTGAAACCGATGCACACCTCTCGACACCCTTAGCCGACCATGCCGATGTTGCGCCCGAGGCACCATGCCGCATTATCCAGGGGCCCATTTAGTGGGAGGTGAGTCACCGTCTGCCAAATATTCAATCTAAGAATGTTGATCAGGCGGACGTCCCGTAGTCTGATCCAATAGTCCAGTTTTAGCCTATCCAAACTTTATTCCATAGCACCATTAAGTTTTCCATACTTTCCATAGTTATTTACTTTAATAATTTCATCATTTTTAGCATTATAAATTGAAAGAAAAATATTTTAGGAGCAAAAAAATCCTGCAGCTAGAAGATATTTCTCAATGTGAGAAAATTTTTCATTTCAAATTCATGATTGAAAAAAATTGATAGTGTTTTAAACGAAAAAAATAATAATTCAGGACCAGTACACTCAGCCATTTAATTCAAGTTATTGATCCGGGTATCCGGACGAATAATTATATATTACTCGTACAGTAACTGGATTAATAATCAATTAATACATCATGTCAATGGTATTAATCGTGCTGTAAATGATTTATGTACTAAAATATATTAGAGCAATAAAACGTGTTTATCGCAAGTGACCGCATTTAATTTACTATTTCGGAACCGAAGTCGTAACAATATACACAAGTGTACTTTCTTATACTACTAGTAGGCTACTGTTCTCAATAATTTGATTTCGCACTGAAACTATTATGTTGTGGATTTACAATAGGTATTCTTTACGTTATTTGAAGGTAAAAAAATACTATAGTCTGCCGTAGAGCAAAAAAAATTTAATAACAATATTTTTTACTACAATGTAGCTTGAAAAGATCTCTTCTAGATAGGTCCATCTTTGCAAACTTATTTTTGAAATAAACCTTTAGGCGTGGCTGGGGGGTGAGTCAATACATTGGAAAAATTAGAGTAGCGGATGTGTCGCGGAAGTGAGAGTCAATTTTTTTTTTAATATTCTTTAATATTTATTACTATATAATAATAACACCTACTTATAAATTTCTAAGAAATTAATTAAAATTCGAAGAAATCTATTATTTACTGACACGCCGGCGTGTCCGTGGTGTATAAATTAAATAAAAGTTTGTGACTAACTGTTGCCATTGTAACCGTTGTTATAGTCTGACAAATGATTAGTGATATTATATTTTATCCGTATATGATATTCTATAAATATATGATTGTAATGTGCTTAATATACCTTATTTCATTATTGATTTGTTTTAATTTAATTGCGATATTCGCCAAACAAGTTTTAATTTAACCGCGATTTTTTTGACATCTTTCAAGGACAGTAAAGAATATAATTTGATTAAAAGATTGAAACTTTTGCGAAGTATATTTTATCTTTTTCTTAAGGGAATTTTGATATATACTATTTTGATATATAATATTTAAACTTATCTAAGAAGTAATTAGACTTGGACCTTTTAAATTATAACTATTACATATGTCAAATTAATTTATCTACTTCTACATATGTATGTATATATGTACATCAAAGATCATTCAAGGCACAATTACTGTATTATATTTAATAATCTTACTTTAATTCATAATATACAAAATAATCTTACTAAAATTGGAGGTAACATTGATTTAAATTAAAATGAAACTCACTTTAAAACGGATTTTGAAAGAACCGGTAAGCATCTTGAGAAAATAAAAATGTACAGTAATACTTACTTACAAGAAATTATACACCCTATTGTACGGGTAATTGTTTAAAAATAGCCAATAAAAGGGATGGGGTATTTAAGTCAACATCCATATTAGAGATGGGATCTACAGAATGAGAGCAAACAAAGCTAATTTTCAACACGCTTGCCGATTCTTATGTCTCAAACATATTTTTATAATTTGTCATTCTTAGAATTATTTTTTTTACAATTTATTCTCATTAAAACATAAATTCATAAAACATACTATTAATTTATATAGCAATACTCATACCTATGTTATAAGTATTAGTGATACATCATGTTATAAGTACTCTTGATTTATACATATTAAATTAAATGTAACGCTAAAACTCAACATTGAATATTTAGAAAAATCTCATTGATTTAATTACGATTTTAGAAATTGCTTTGGAACAACTAGATGAATTTTAGTGCTACTTTTTACAATACATTTATTGTATCACACACAAAATATTGCTAAGCTTAATTTGAAATATGCAGTATATATCATCGTCATAGTTTATGAGACTAGATTTCGGATAATATAATAGCATAAAATAAAATTGGACTTCTGTTTCTCTTCGGGTTCAATTCCATTGTTAAAACAATTATAAATAATCATTTTTAACTAAAGTGAAGAAAGTCATAATTAAAAAAAATAAGGGTAAAAATTGTCATACAAGATTTACGTTATTTTATGTAATATTAAGCATAGAATGTAGAAAGTAAACTAGTAAGGGTAGAAAGTAAAGTAGTAAGTTAAACTATTTTTATTCATTTTAGTATATTGCAGCAACAAACAGCTTCCTCTCCTTTTGTAAGATATGTGAAGATGCAGCATTAATGTGAATGTGTTTCAATAAACAAATTTCCAATTACAACAGGGTTTTTTTTCAAGTCATTCTAACACTATAGAAGTTTAGGTTTCAAATCCTGATTAATTAATATATTAAGTGTCAAATGATAATAACATGTCTTTTTTTATGTTTGGCATAGGTATAGTTCAAAGATATTAGACCGATGCTTACTCAACATCTATACATACATATAATAAAATTCTAACTAAGCCGAATCTGTACATTAAATATTTTTTGGAAAATCTTATTGAAATAGACATTACTATCGATACAGAGGCCGAATCTATTATTTTTAGAATTTTTATCTGTCTGTCTTTTACCGCATCAAGGCAAAAACCACTGGAGGGATTTTGATGAAATTTGGTATGATAGTAGCTGGTTTTCCGGGTCAACATATAGGATACTTTTTACTGCTGCAAAATATCTCATCTCAGAGAAATCTATATTAAACGTTAAAACGTAAGTAGCGACGAACCCAAGCGTACCAAGGGTAAGTCGCTAGTTTTTATATATAGTTTCATATAGCAACGAGTTCATCGAAACTGAAGAGAATTTGATAAGAGAAAAGCTACGATCAAAAACTAGTGACAACATTCACGTAAAAATAGTAAAAAACCTTACATAAATCAATTCAATGACTTTCTACAATAAGTGCATGCCTTAATAATAATTTATATAAACACTAAGAGCATTAATAATACAAAATTCCTAGCTTTGGTTAAAAATGAACTATAACAAAGTATCATTTTATTTTTCTAAGGCCATCATGCTTATGTACATTGTATATTTTAATGATCGCGTCATTCAGAGTGGTGAGCTTGGCCTTACAGCCTTTATCACATTTATTACAGACCCAGTGAGTTTCTTGTTTTTGATTTATATGTTTTGATCTCTTTTTGAACCTGTAGTCCCCTAAGATGATGATTGCATTCCCTGCTCGACTCCAGCTGTACCGAGGGACCAGTCCATCTAGAACACATAACCAATAATAAACACTTTAGTTGGTTTTAAAGGCTACTTGTTTGTTAGTTTCTAATTTAGTCATAATCGATTTTAATGAGTGTGAGTCGTTACGATAATTTCATTAATATCGATTATTTTTACTCTGAAAAAAGTGTACCTACGGATTAGAGATAAAAAAATGAGAAGAGGTATTGTGTATTTTTTAAGAAAAAATAAGAAACAATGTTAAGTGATTAGAATGTATTAATTAATTATTAACTTTAATAAAATAGTTAATTAAAATTAACACAAATATTTTTTTTTTCACTTTCAATTATATATTTATTATCTATATATACAATTATAATCAAAAATTTATCAAGCAATAACATTTTTAATCTTTATAAAATAATTAATTTTACATAGTTTTTCTTATAAACAGTATTAAACAATACAAAACTCTATTAAAAATTTATTTATTTATGTAAATAATATCTCTTACGCCTTTGCCTCAACATCAATGGCTGCATGCCAACGTTGAGACATTTATTGTATCTACAAAACCGACAATAAGACCTCGTCGTCATATCTATATGACACATCTGTTGGTGAGTTTTGAAATAACCTGAGCATACATATTCTGATTGTTTGTTTAATTGTAGAGTTCTTTTAAAAAACACTTTGCACGATTCACAAGTAGATATCCCGTAGTGCATACCGGTCACGGTATCTCCACAGATGGGACATAGAGACTTTCCTTCAGAATCTGTAATAATTATTTATAGATTACCTCCAAATAATATAATATTTAAAACCTTTTACCTTTGTGCAGGCAAAATGCCACAGATAGTGATTTTATTTGTAATTTTGTGATTTTAAATGAGTGTGTTTTTAAAAAAAATAAACAATCAAAACAGGTTAGATTTATTGAAAAAAAAAAACAACAATTGACCCTTACATGATAACATATGTACAGTAAGCAATATTATTAGATTATTTAGGTAGTAAAAAATTAAATTAATTGTTATATTTAGTACTTTCTTACGTTTATCAGAATATTTGACATTTTGAATAAAACTATATTTCTGGACTTATATTGAGAACCAAAAATCAAAATGAATCCTGATGAACATAAAAATCCAAAAGATAGATTTATTAGTTTTCTTTTTGGAAATAAAATAATGTACCTATTTTTTTTAAGTATTCTTGTCACAAGCGCACAATAACAATTCGTGAATTAATGCTTAAACACCAACTAAAATCAATAAATTCAAAGTGAAAATAAAAAACAACAATCCTTTTAAATTTAATTTGACACGAAGAAATAAATATGCAAAATTAAGACATAAAAATAAATAAAAGTATCTTGTATATCGTACATTTCACTATCCAAGTTAAATACCTAATAATACTAAATTAAATTTTTTTTATTAATTTAAATATAACATTTCTTATCATTTTATTATCAATAAGTAAATTAAATAAGGTATGAAGCCGATTGTGTTTTTATAAGTTTCTTTATTAGTTTTTATAAGTTTTAAGTTTGTAGAGATTAATACTTTCTTACATTTACGCGAATATTTGACACGTCTAAAACCTTAGTCTCTCCCATGACCATGATTGCTGTAAAGCATTCGAAACGTCGGGAACCAAAAATCAAAATAAATCCTAAAAGATAGTTTTATTTGTAGATTCTTTATAATGTCCACTATTCTTGTTTAAAAAATTGTGTTAATATAATAAAGAAATATAAAATGCTTCAATAAAAACCAATAATAAATTATAAATAATACCTATATCTATCTAACTAGAGATATCCAAAAAATACTTGTTAAACAAACCAAAGTTGTCATTAAATACATACCTCGATTCAGTAGCAAAACAGGTACTTACATATTTTATATGGTTGAAACGATATTTCTAACTTAATTTATATATTTTCTCTTTATCATAATATTTACATGTAAACCTATTTATTTATTTAATAAATAAACTAGGGTTGATGATTGTGATTCTTGTTCAGATAAACGGCGAGTCCGCCGTACGTGTGTATGACAGCTTTACATCCAAAGTAGCTGCGTCTACTGCACTGCCACCTGGCTCTTTCATTCCTTGCGTAATGTAGAGAAAACTTGTACCCATCCACCACCATCATTGCTCTATTATTTCTTGACAACATATAGGACACTGAAATGTTCATTTGTATTAAAAAACCTATTTAAAGGAGTTATTGTGATACTATGTAATGAAAAACCATAGCTCTACGGTATGAAGTAAAGCTGCTTATAAGATTTTTATTGCGAATAATTTATTATATAAAATACAGTTTTTAATTTCAAAAAACGCATATACATATGTAACTGAGCGTTTTTGATCACGGTTATTAATAAAGTTAATAGTTGCAGACTTATAAATGATACTGGTATATTACTTCAAAAATCTTTTAGCTTCGTGTCCAGATTCTCTTTTTCCACGTTTTGAGTCAATATTAAACCATATATACCATAAATATTATAAGATTTCTTCTTCTGAACAAGAAGATATTTATGTTTTTCTCTAAAACCATTTAGATCTTTTTTGCAATTAAGGCTAAATTACTAACTCCATGGTACTTTTTATATTCAAAGTCAAATTGCAAGTTTGGAAGATGTTTATTGTTATACAAAACTATATAATGTGGAAAAACACACGTATACGCTAAAGCTACATTCTAAACACGATCACTTCGTTTTAGTTATTATAACTAATTTATTCTAAAAAAACACGACAATTGGCAAATCATTCAATCATGCGAGGTATATTTCATTTATAACTTTGCTTACAGATCTTATATTGAGAAGTGCATTATATTATCTCATCATTACAGTTGTAAACTTAGCGTGTACCTAAATAATACATTTACTATACATCATATATTGTGTATTAGGAACGGTGTGATGGTACCTAGTTGCTTTGATCTATCCGGGATGTGAATCCACGAATAACTGTGTACGTGTAGTGTCAGGGCCAGTCAGACATGGCAACCTGTATCTGTCCTACACTACCGGAACTACGACTTGGCCACCACTTAGCTACAAAACACACTATTCTAACAATCTTACTTATTATTGATACTGAAATATCATTGGTGAAAATATCTTTATAATAAGTAAAATCAATTACAAATGGTTTAATTTCGAATTTCACTCATAAACGTTTATTTTACTACTCCGTTTTCCACGCATAATCATATTTAATTTCATGCGGAGTGGATCTTAAGAATTTCCCCCAATCAGTAACCCAACCACGATCTTCGGAGAAACAACAGTAGTACTCTTTACAATCGAATGCTTATTGGCTTAGCTCATTACGTAAACTAAAGAAATTCATTTGAGATTAATATACGTATAACTATAATAAAAATAAAACTTAAACTAAGAAAATTCTTATACACGATCAATTGCTAATCAATCTTAAAAAGAGATCTCATATAATTACTAATAAAAATAAGCTGCCAATTTAAGCTACACACATTTATAAAAAGGAAACTTTTTTTAAATCTAAATTAGTTAAATATTTGGAAGTAAATTACATATTGCACTGATTGCTTGAATGCAGTCATCTAGCATTAAAAGCCAATTAAAAGAGTAAGTACGATAAATATAAAGAGAACGCTAATATGTTGTATCGAATAAACTATGTTTAAAAATTATGTTATTGGGATGACCAGTGCTTAAATCTATATTTTGTAATTCAGTGCTAAGCTTATTTTTATTTATCAGCAGTTCTGAAGCGTCGTGGTTGTGCCATCCCTTTACTTCAACAATTATTGTTCCACACGTTTTGACTACAGCCTTGCAACACTTGTACGAATGAGTTGAACAAGTCCATCTGATAACACCGTTTCTAGTGGAATGCTTACAATAAGTGTACTTATTGTATACAATCAAAGGTTTTCCTCTCATCGACTGAGTTATGAAGGCTTTGGAATCTGCAAAATTACCATATTGTTAGCGTGTGCTTAAAGTTACCTATATTAATTGGTTAACTAAAAATTAGACTATATTAATTTCAACTTTAGCGGAAATAAAAATTTTATAATACCTTTTAATTTCAAGAAATACTAAAATAAAAATAGTAAATAAAACATCAGGCAATTTTAAATAGTATATTTTATATAATCTAGAGAGCAATGGAACACACGTGCATTAATACTGAACAATTATGCCACTACATTTGTACTACATAAGGCAAGAGATTGCAAGAGATCACTATCGTTATCACATATTTAGCACCTTAAAGTTACACAGTAGCACCATTTCAAATACTAATCATAAGAATCTTATCTTTAATTGTTATAATATAGGTATCGTCAAACATCTTGAGCTACAAGCTGACGCAAATGTCGATATATCAACAAATCAAGTATTTACGCTATCAAACAAAGAAACTTTAACAACTATTGCGTGCTTTTTAAAGCAAGATGTTTGCACACTGTCTTATGAAATCCAAAGCTTGCTTGTGAAGTGCAATTGTATCAACAACTTTACAATGAAAAAAAAAATATTTTCACTATACCAGTTTGTTCTAAACATAATGTAACTAATTAATACATAATCGAGATTTGAATGAGATTCACTATTTACTAGATAACTATAGTTAAATGGTTTTACGTTTACTATTTATTATTATGTATTCATCTCTATTAATCTATAACTGGTAAATAATAAATGTTCATATAATAATGATTTTTGCTCTCAGGTAATGATAAAGAAATAGAAGATGAAATTAAACTTTTTAATGATTTTATAACAAACACCCTAGAGAGTAGAGACGCTATAGAAGCAAACATTAAGAGTTTTATTCTAATAAATATAGCAGCTCACAAATTATACTTATTAACTATGAATGTTAATGTCAATATTATAATTGAAAACAAATAAAAAAATTGAAACTTTTTGTATTGATTGAAAGTGAATAAGGAATTAAAAGCTGTCCAAAAGGCAAGGATGTAGCCATCACAACAATTAAATAGACTATAAAAATTAAAATAGAAATC